CCTAAGAACTTTGACAATATCACCGCGACTTTCAATCGGCATCTGGCTGGCGTCCAAGACGTAGATACAGGCATCCAGAATGCCGGCCTCAAACTGCAGGACAGCAGTTTGTTAAATAACATTAAAGGTTGTTAAATTTATGGTCTGTGTGATGTCAGACTGGGATTACCTGTCCAAAGACCCAGCCCCGCTCAGTCACCTGGGTGTTTGTGCCCTGATATATTATACCAGTGGGGTTAAGGACGTACTCTGAACGTCCAGCATCCTCAGGATAAAACACATCATCGTCTGCAAACAGTCACACAAGATAACCTCACTGGTCAAGCATATATGGCTCAGTTCAGGTTAAACCAAATGTTTTTAGATAATAATCACATGTTGATGTAAAATCATGACTCGTTCTAAAACTTTGGCATCATCACAATATTTTATGATCTATTTAAAACAATGTGAGGTTTTATTTTTAGCACTGCAGACATTTTACCATCATTTGTTGAGTTTTTGAAATTTTACTTGATTGATTTGTCTTAGACAAATAACACATTAGATATTAAAATGTATATGTAAAATAAATATATTTTAATAAAGAAAAATCACGTTTATTGTCAGAAAAAAACTTATATTCAGATTCTTCAAACTCTGTAAAGAGATTAGACAAAAACAATAAATAAGTTTAAAGAATAAGCTCCATTTAGCTTTTTATAGCAACTAAGATGTCTTAAGAACATTAAGCTTTATTGAGAAGCAAACACTAGATTTTATTTGTAACCATGTCAACAAGTGTTGTTCAAACCCTGATGTACAAAAATTATGCAACATTTATTCTATATCTTATCTTTAACTTGGTCAACAGTTTTATTTTACAAAAGAAACTAAAACAGAAATAAAGTTACTTTCCTTTACAAATGACCTTACAATTTAGATATATATAAACCTTTAAAAACAGTTTTTGTCTTTAACTCACAAAAATAAACAAATAAATAAATAGAGAAACTTGAGTTTTAAAACAGGAAATCCAACTTGCAGTACCACTCCTGGCCACCAGGGGCAGCAACAGCAGTAAAGTTGTTACCTCGACACCAGGCGTTGAACAGCACGTACAGGTCGGTGCTGGGGTCCCTGTTGGTTCTTTGTATGCCGTTGCTTGCAGAGATGGCCACGTACGTGCGATACAGGCCCACGATGGCACTGGGGTTAGGTGTGATGCCCAGGGACACCACTGGACCCTGAGAGCCCAGAATCTGGCCCATCCACGAACCGCCAGCACGGTTCCCAAAGGTCACCACCACGAAGGAGTTCGTCTGGGGTGTCGGGTTAGAACCTGGGGGTAGGAATCAGACAGGGTTAAAAACAGGACATGTCTTCACTAAATGAGATGTTTTTATAAATCTGGTAGGAATTCTGACACCGAGCAGTTTCCTCTGAGGCTCTGTGGACCTGATTAACCAACAGAGACAATCTGGAAACTTCAGTTTCAAGTTTCAATCAAAATGTGTTCAGATTAACTCCCTTACAGGGCTGCCGGACGTCAGTCAGGATTTCTTTCTTTGGGTAAATCAACTCAGATCAGTCATTTTTGGTTGTTGCATTTGAACAC